AAGTGGGCTATAGTAAACCAGCAGAGAGATACAGGTAAAGGCCAACTGCCCATTTGCTTTCCAGCCAACAGAACTGCCTTTGCCTACAGGGGCCAGAGAGCAGACAAGCTGCTGTCTGAGCCAGGACTGTGCCACAGAGGGAAGAGCCCTGTGTCTGTGAGGCCACAGTGCTCTCTGTACCCCACCCTGTTTTGATTTCCTTTGATTTTCTCATTCACTTATTCACTACTCTATTCCTTGTTTAAGTATTCATGTATCTATCTATTTATTCATTTGTTGGACATGTAATGAGGTAGTCAGGATTCAACAATCAACCAGACATAGTCTGTGACCTCAAAGCTGATGGGAAAGCCGGCAAGATGCTGAACAAAAGCTCCAGGTGCTGTAAAAGGGATAGAGAGCAAACACGATGGGGCTGTGTGGAAAGAGGCAAGCCAGAAGAAGCTCAGAGCAGAGGGGGCTGAGACGAGCCTTTAAAATGTTCGCAGGTGGAAAGGGTGGGTGTGTGTGTGTGTGTGTGTGTGTGTGTGTGTGTGTGTACACACATGCAATAACTGGACATTGATAGTTTGGGTGGTGAGAACACAATACAAACACATGGACACAGCAGGAAATGGAAGACTAGAATGGTTCATTTTGGGGACTTAAGACTATAAGAAACCGTGTGCAAAGGATTCAAGCAAGGGTTAAGAAACTGAGGATTGATGAAGGGGATACCTTTCAGGGGAATGCACAGAGCGAATGGAGAGGGCATATAGGTTCCAACTGGACAGGACCCAAGTGACCCATCAAACAAAACAGCAGACGGATGCCAGCAGATCTCTGGCATATTTCTCACAGGTTAAAGACTCTGAAAGCCCCTCTCATCAGCTTATGGCAGAACAGGAGCCTCTATGAGGTCATAGGACAGCCAGGGCTCTATAGAAAAGTTTGGCCTAGATCTGTGTCTAGGAACAGGTCCCAGACCAGGTTAGCCCTAGGAGAGGGGTCTTTGGTCACATTACTGCCTCCACTTGGAAAACCTGAATCACTACCATCCAAGTCCAATACAGCCTTCATGGCTCTGGTCCAGTACACCTACCCATGAAGCTCTTCTATAGGTGAGCTCCTCTTCTGCGTGCCTATGAGACCTTTTTCTGTCATTCTATCCTGAATTAAAGTCACCAGTGGACTTTGCTATTCCCTTCAACTGTTCCATTGTTCCCACTGGGAGATTCTCATGTTGATATCAAGCTGTGTGTATCCTCAACTCAGCAGTCATGCAACAAGGTCATGCCCATCAAAAGCAGCTTGACAGACATCTCTGAGGCCACAAAGGACACTGGTGGTTTGAAAGAAGTAGGAAAGAGAGACAATCAAGGCTCCAGGCCCTGGTCAGACTTTCCTGTACTCTCCTACCCCCAGGGAGGCTCTCTGGAATTATGTTTTCCTTCTCTGTTTTGGGTTGAGCCTGTGTTTAGTCCCTGGAGGGGCAGCCATTATTTCTCTCAGGGTTTCAAGGGGGCTCAAGAGCATCTCATATTTCTCTGTTTGGCAAATAGTCGGTCTCCTGCCTTCCTTCTCCGGAATCAAGAATCCCAGAAATTAAAGCCAGAGGGACTCAGGTTTCTTTCTGAGAAGGAGCCTCCACAGCAGATGCCAGCCGAGCCCAGGAAATCCAGCCAGGAGGGGGCACACGGGGTTTTGAGTTTTCTAGGAGGCAAGGAGGGGGAAAGCCATGGATACAATGCTCTAATACTGCAGGGGGCAGGCTCAGGTTCCCAGCATGCAGCAGAGGACCCTTTCTTTCAAACCTGCATCTCAGCCAGTGAGAACCATTATGCACAGCCATTATGCTCTTTGCAGAGGGCACGTTTCTTTTTGGGTGGGGAGACAGCAGCAGCTTTTCATGCTAGAGAAAGGGTGGGAAGGAGCACTGGGTCCCAGCTGAAGGAAGCAGGTCTAGCCCAGATGCCAGCAGACAGGGAGTGGGAGCAGGAGGAGGGATGGGAAGGAGCCAGGCTTCTGAACAGAGGCTTGGAGATGGCAGGCAGTTGCTTACAGGAAGAGCAGAGCTGACACCTGAATCTTGGCTTGCTTCCCCCTGGAGAACACTTTAATAAGGTTCACAGCTGTAATATCACAGAATGAGCATTAACAATGCTAATTACCTAAAGTTTAGCCCAAGCATTCTCAACCCACCTGCCTTGGGGACACCCTTTTGTTTCAGCCCTGCTAGGCTGAGGTTTATGATGATGCTGTGACAGTGGAAGACTAGGGTAGTCCGGGGTGGGGTGGGTAGGTCACCAAGTCCCACAAGTTGCAGGGGCCTGCCAGAAGAGGACAAAATGAGACTTCTTGGTGGTGAATCAATGCACTTTCACTCTGCCTAAAGGAGGAGGCCCTGGTAGAGTCCAGGTCTCCCAGAGAGAGCTGGGAACAGAGTGAATCCATTTGTCCAGCCCATTAGCACCTGGAGAAAAATCAAGTCTTTCAGTAGCCTCCAGAGACCTTGAGCATGCCCACCATCCTGCCCCAAAGCAACAGAACTACTAACAATCAGAAACATCGAATTGGAGCTGTGCTAGTCAATGATTTTAGCTGAAGATTGGAGCTCAAGAACTGTCTTTCCAGCTCTGTCTCTAGATGCCTCTGGGTATTCTGAAAGTCCATCCCAGAATTCTAGGCTCCGACCCAGTCAACTTGGAAGGTCACTGCTCTAGAACAATCTAAGTCTCTGGCACACTTATGTCCTATACCATCCCAAGGCGTGTATGGGGACAGACTTTATTGGGTGCCACAGAGGGTCTCTGACCTGGGCAAGCTCAGAGACTGAAGAACAGGCCTTGATCCACTTTGCTCCTTGCCCAAACATTGCTTGAATCTAGCAGTCCTAGATTTACTGAACGTCATGCCTGTATCTATAAAAATCAAGAGTCACCCAGCTACTAGATACTAGAACTTCTATATTCTTCTCCAGAAACATTCCCACTAACTCAAGGAGAAAGAATCATGTTATATCCTTATTAAAACTCACACCCTTGATGTCCTTATCGTGGGCCTCTTACATTAGTCTCTTATCTCTGATACTTTTCGTCTGCCCTGCCTAACTCATCACCATGCTTTTTCCAAGGACAGTGCACAGAAAATCTGTTCTGCTCTGTCTGACTGACTGTCCTTTGGCTCCCTCCAACTTTTCCCCTCCCTCTTCCACCCTGCCAACTTCTCCAAGTGGCAGCAGTTTCTGGTCTGTTAGTGACTTTTATAGGACCAGCAGACCAAAGCCCTTTCTCAGCAGCTAGTGGAATGAGGCTGTCATTCAAACCACTGTAACAAAATACCTTAAACTGGGTCAGAAATTGTGGAAATTTATTTCCCACAGTTCTGGAGGCTGGGAAGTCCAAGGTCAAGATGCCAGCAGACTCCATGTCTAGTGAGGGCCTTTCTCTGTAGTCATTATCATCACAATTGCACCTCACAAAATGAAGGGGCCTGAAGCCTTTCTTGGGCTCCTTTGTAAGGGTACTTTACCTATTTGTAAGAGTTCTGCCTTCATGAGCTAATCACTTCCCAAAGACCCCACATCCTGATACCAGGGCCTAGGTAAGGAGACTTCAACACAAAGTTTTAGGAGAAACATAACACCCAGATCACAGAGGCCAGGGTACAAAGCTGTGGTCCCTGGGGTTAGAACAGAAGCAAAAATGTAGGCCTTCATGTGGGTGTTGTGTGTCCTCCTTTCCTGGCTGGACTTTGTTGTGAGCTCAAGGCCCTCACACTTTACTAGAATCAGCAGTTCTGCACTGCAAGCCCAGCTGTCACCTGAGGCCACTTCGGGTGAAGGGCTGGCCTTTTCCTTATGGCCCCTGGATGCAGCCATCACTCCCCCTGCAGGAGAGGTTCAACAGCCTGCTCGATGGCCCAAGTCTGCAGCAATAATCAATGGCTCTGGGGCTGAACTAACGGGCCACCTTGTACTGACGACAGCAAAGCCTGAAGGCTATAAAGGACTCTGAAGAACAAGGAGCGCATACTCAGTGGAGCAGCCAAACTAGCATGGTGTCCGCCACTGCCGTGCCCCCCTGTACCCTACTGAAATACACAGGTTCATCCCACCGGGGAGCACACTGAGATCCAGCCTTCCACTCTCCTAACCATAGCCCACCCTTGCCCATTGTATTTTTGCCTATCTGGTGCCTGCCTCCTGGCAAGACTGTAAGCCCCCTGAGGGAGAGGGTTTTGTCTTCCCTATTGTATCCCCATAGTCTAGCCCATGGAAGAGGTTTTATTTGTTTATCTTTAATTGTTTTGGAAACCCAGCTTTCCACTTGCAGCTCGGGGAAAACAATCCCCATGTGGACCAGGAGTCCTGAATCCAGAAGCTGTTTCTTTAAGACTATGTGAAGCAGATTCTGGGGACTCTGGGGTCAAGTATAGCCTCTGTGCAGCTTCTCACTTTGTGCTCAGTTCAGCCATCTTGTTGCCTTTTATGGAAGGAGTTTCAGACCTGAAAGGAAAGGAGGGAGGGAAGGAGAGAGGGAGGAGGAAGTTGACTTTCAGAGGGCCCTGAACTCTGCCCTGCCATGCTCCCCACCTCCACTGTGATCATCTCTGAGTCCATGACCTTCCTTCTGCCTGAAATTCCAGTGAGCTAGCTTTGGAAAACCCTGTGATCTTTGCAGAGGGGTCAACTGCAAATGAGTTGCTATGCTGCAGCTAGTGAAACTCTTGGTTGAGGCATGAAATTGTGATGCCTGTTGTGTCCATGAAAGCTGCCAAGATGATGGTTTCCCTAGGGTCCAGTGTGTGCCATCACCCCAGAGCTCCTGGGGTCTTCTTACAGGTACCAGGTGCTTCTCTAGCATCTGATGCACATGCATGTATGTTCACACACACATGCACACATGCACACACCCACCACACATTCCCACTCTTCTACCTGACATGAAAGGGATCCATCCCAGCGCAATGCACACATGTGCAATTGATCTTTTACAGGTTGGGAGAAAAATAACACAGAATTCCCAGGAGTTTTAAAGCCTTTTATTTGTTTACACATTCTCTAAATTGCAGACAAAAGATTTGCTACTTGGGTAGTTAACACTGCTAACCAATCACAGAACAAGATAATAACCACAGCAAGGAAGAGACAGGGAGCTTGTGACTCAGTCTTTATGAATGTGCAAGGGTCCCACTAAGGGACTAAAATATCCAGGGTTTCCAAAAATAACAATTTCTGGATGCCCACAGTGATCAGCATCTCATTAGCTTGACTTCTCCAAGGCCCCTCTCCCAGAATGCAGTGAGGACAGGAGAGAGGGCAGAAAGGAGGAGGGTCCAGCTCATGGGCATCCTTCTGCCAGCCTTCTAAATGAAGAGCAGTTGCTTCTCCTTCCAGGCAAGTCCTAGGTCAGTGAGCCGGCATCCAGGCGTGAGCTATTTCCGACCTATAGATTCTCCTGGAGACATTCACAATACACCAGCGTGTCCCTTTCGGATGGTGGGAGGTGCGGCACAGCCACATCTCCAATACTGAAACATCAAGAGTTCTAGACACATCCCTTAGACAGGGCAGATACATCACAGCACTTTTCACATTAGGAGCCACAAAAAGAGTAGGAATTGACACCTGGGAGAAATGAGCATTCCTAGCAAACAGAGGAGCAGAGCACACACACGCACGCACACCTAGAGACTGAGACTATAATCATATCACACCTGAAAGAGGAGCAGAGCCAGCAAAGTAAGGGGTGGGCAGATTGTTTGCTTGTTGCTGTGGTTGCTTTTTAGAGAAGGCAGAGGAAGTCAAATGGAAATACTGTCCTCGGACCATTACACACAACTTCCCCAAGCCGCAGTCCTTTCTCTAACCTCATGAAAGCTGGGCTGGCCTCAGTGTTGCACATCGAGGCCAAGCAGCTCGGCAAAAACTCACATTATTCAGTCAGCAAGAGGCAATGTGGTGTTGGGTATTGAAGTCCAGTGGGGTCAATGTTCAAGAGCATGAAAGAAAGCCCCTCATTCGTAGACATTTCTAGTGCTGCAGGCCAACTCTGTTGGTCATTCTTTTATGACTGAGTTTCAAAGGACTTGGAACATGGGGTAAAGGCAAGAAAGCATGTGAGGATGGTGGTGATACAATGCTGGAATAGCCTCTTGTCTTGTGCCCACACTGGCAGACATATCTACCGGTCAAGAGATACCATGCAGACCAGTGATTAGAGATCAACAGAGTATTTCAAGGCCCTTCCCTAATTGCAACTCAGATCCATCAGAGCAGTAAATTCTTAAAACTGTGAGACAAACAGGGTAGGTTTACCAGCTGAGACAGAGCAACGGAAATTAAAGTGTTTTTCCCATGCCTCACGCCTGACCAAAGCCAAAGCTTTCATTCCCTGCAAGAGCCTGCAAAGATCCATGCTTCCTCAGAAGACAGTGGGACAGTCACCTCCCCCTACCCTGCCTCCCTTCTTGTCCAGTTCCACCCAGAAGAGCCCTGGTTCATGAGCAAGGGCAGCCCTTGCCAAAGCCACCACACCAGCCTCTCTCTGAGGAGACAGAGGTGCTTAGGCAACTAAAAGAGAAAACTTCCTGATGAAAATGTGCCACATTTTGGCTACCAAAAAGAATTATGGAAAATGAGCCTTAAGATTTGGAAGTGGAGCAGAGTTGGTTGAGGACTTGGTTCTGGCTCTTTCTTGAATCAGCTGTGTGACATGGATAGGCATGCCAGTCGTTCCTCACGTCTCCATGTCCTAAAGGTCCAGCAGGCAAGCTTCACAATGGGAAGGGGTCTGATGGGTATGCAAATGAAGGGGGTGAGGGGACCCTCTAAGAGCTCTACCCCTGGGTTCTCAGGCTTCCAGCTCCACTCCTCATAGAGCTGAAGGCCTGAGGGCCCAGGATCCCCTGGCTGGCTGCTTGGGACAGTGCCGCTGGTCTGGCCTGGATAGAAGCCAAGTCAGATGGCCTTCCTCTCTCCTCTCCACCAGCAATAGAGATAAGGATAATCCTCCATTCATACCCAATTTTGTTCTAAAGAATCTTCCTCACATGCTTTTCAATGCATAGGTGGACCAAACCCCAGGAGACACTTCCAGATCTCAAGCATTTTTAATATCAGGCTCATAGCCAAGCCTTGAGTCTACATACCTGGAGTCACCTCCACAGAGGTCACCAAAATCCCCCTTGCTCAGAGTCATGGGCTGCTTTAGACAAGCTCTGAGCTGATCTCTCCACATGGAAGATGCATGCCTTCCCCAAACCAAGCATTTCACTTGAAAGCCAGCCCTGTGTAGCTTCTTCAGGGAATAGCTGAAAGTCAGTATCTGACAAGTGCAGAGAAAAGGAACGATGGAACAAATAGTTTATTCCCGATGCTATCAATACAGACAACTGGCAGTCAAAGGAAGCATAAAGGCAGGCAGAGGTGGATTACTGAAAACACCGCTGACATTGGATTCACACACACACACACACACACACACACACACACGCACACACACCTCATATGGGAACATGCTCCTGGACACTGAGCCTACCTTCCTGGAGTCCCCGTGGGAGTCCATCTAATCCCTGTACTAGGCTCCTGCCCCCTCACTCTGCTTCTCCAGCAGGACCTAGACAAGACTATCATGTGTCACTATCATGGGTCACTTTCTACCACCGATCAGGCCCTATTGATTGCACTTCTCCACCACCCCACCCCCAAGAACTGGAGAGCAGCATCCAGAGCCAGCCTCAGGTTCCCTCCTGCTCAACACAGTCCAACTAGATCCCTTCATCATGTCACTGCCTCTCAGGTGAAGGTTGTTCTTCCAAGGACAGCCAGCATTTAGAGGAACAGGTAAAAGCAGTTAGGCTGAGGATACCTGTGTCCTTCTCCCCAGCCTTCGAAGGATGGAAATAACCTGCTAGTTTCCCAGTGATAAATATACATTGAAAAAAAGAGACTCAGATATACACATACACCTTCCCATGAGGCATGATACTTGACATATGATCAGGATTCCGAGGGAGAATTTACTTGTACAGCTAAAAAGCAACCTGTAGGCTGGGCCTGCATGTAATCTGTTTTTCTAGCCCCTGTAGTACCTAGAGCATTTCTTTACACATAATCAAGACGCTGCCAAGTGTTTTAGCCAGTCTATGCAGCAATCACTCTTGGCAAGCAAGAGATGTGCCCATTTGCTTTCAGAGAAAAAACACCCAGGGTGGACACATAGCAGATAAGTGGTGGATACCCTTTTCCTTGCCAGAGGGGCACAAATGATTCATAAGCACTCATCATTTCTTATGCAAGCATGACCAGCCTGCCTCCCCAGTGCCACACGGATGGGGCACACTGGTTCCCCAGGACTCCCTGCCTGTCTCGCCCTGCTGTTCCCCACCTCCTCTGCTGAGACAAATGGTCTATATTTTCATGTGCTCACTCACACATTATCTAGCAATGTTTCATTTGCTTTTTTGTGATCCCTAACTTAGACTTCTACAACTACATGTCAAAAAGGTATACAGCTCCATTTTCTTCTTGGATTATGCTGCTTTGTTCCACCCTGCTCTTCAGCATTCTGCGTGGCAGGAGGGAAGGAAGGAAAAAACCATAGGGAAGGGAAATGCAGGAGAAGAAAACAAAAATCTCAGTGAGCAATAAACATGAAAGGGTAAGGTCAATATAAACCCCAACCCCCATGCTAGCCATAGTCTTTGCATCCCTTTGACAGCAGAATTGAGACTTTTTTTTACAACTCCTCATCTACTACTAAACACTTCTCCCAAAGGAGCAGAGGTGAGCTGGAGACAGATGGAGAAAGTTGGTGGGCCCCAAGGCTTTCTAAGCACAAAGGCCTCCTTCACCACGACCTCTTTGGCCATGTAGGGGCTGGGCTCTTGAGCCTCTGGGCTGCTAAAGACTACATGCACAGATTGGTGTTCTGGGGCAGCTCCTGGATCTACTATCCTGAGGCAACACTAACAGTTCCCTTAAGTTCATCAAGCAGAATGTGTATGCCTGTGTGTGTGCATGTGTGTATGTGCACACACACACACACACACACACACACACATACACACATCTCTGTACTCATGGATATTAATATTATTAATACAGAGAGTTGAGCCAAGGGGATGTGGAGAATGCAGATTTAACCCGGGGGGCACAGGGCTGCGTTGTTGAGGGACTACACAGTTCCCAGGGTCTCCAGGCCACTCCTACTTCCCTCAGGAACTGCTTCCTGCCCACGGCCACACTTAATTGCCAGGCTGTGCTGGTGCTGACCTGGACAGCCATCTTGCTTGCTGCCTGCACTAGAGGGTATTATTAATAATTACATTTCTGTCCAAGAGGGTTCTGGCTGCCTGCCAGTCCCAGTGCTGCCTTCCTCTGGCCTGCCCTGGAAAATGTCATCATCAGCACAAACACTGTCTTTTCATGGTGGGGCCAAAACGGGGGACACCATGGAATGTCCCTCATTCAAGGCTACTGGCCCCACAACCTCTATCAGGCACTGGAGCAAAGAAGAGAGGAGGTGAGGACAGGGATTAAACCAACAGGCATTGCTGTGTCTTCCAGGCCCCTGACAACACACAGTCTTAGAACACTGAGAATCACCTTAGTCTTATTCAGCTGAGAAGTCACAGCCACGGTTTGCTCAGAAACCAGATGCGGGTCTTCTTGGGACCCTATTTGTTTCCCAGTCTTTTTACTCACACAGGAATTTTCCTGCTCTTTCTGGGAAACACACTTGACGTGGAACTGGCTGGCAGGGACCCCAGCACTACTGCTACCAGGGCCTCTTGAAGGTACCTCCTCCAAGTCTTCCTTCCCAGTCTGGCCAGAAGCATGGTATGGAAGCCCTGTAGCCAAGCCTTCCAGGGAGCAGCTGTTGAGGTGCTCAAAGGAGCTGCCTTCCCTCCTGGGGTGGGGGGTTCCCTGCACCCTCCTATGTCCACGTGCCGAACCACTGGCATTTGCATCCTCCTCTCCCTTCATCCCTTGCAGAGGAAGTACCTCACTTGTCTCATAAAGACCAGAGGATCTCCAGCCTTCTTAGAACAGAATTCCCAGTTCTCAGAGGCCCCCATCTGTTTTCCCCAAAGGCCCTGAACCAACCCATCCATCCTGCTGTTTCTACACGCAGGGTAGATAGCTGTGGCATCTGGTAGAGAATCATAAACATGCTGAAAATCTGGGCATGTTCAGAAATAGGGCAGGACTCCGAATCAGATGACTACAGAGCCCATCTTCAGAAGACAGATAAATCGGAACAAAGAATATTCAGGATTGGATGGGGGACTTGCAACCTGAGGCAAACTAAAATATCTTTCTTTCCCACCATTCTCCCCATTCTTCAGCTGCTATGCTAATGCAATTGGACATCTAAAAACCAAAGGCACCCTTTGTGGGTAAGAGTGAGATTCCAAAAAGTGTACCACAGTGGGGCATGGGGCAGTCATGTCATTCAGGCACGGGATAGGACTGACCCTTCTCCTGGGGTCCTCTTCCTCCTTCTATACCCAGGTATGCCAGCCTACCGAAGTACTAAAGATGATAACAATGTGCTGCCCCTGAAAAGAGCCAGGTGTGGGACTCAGGGGATCTTTGGTGGGAAAGGGAGTGTGGTTCCTGCCTTGGGAAGACAACTTTTCCCTGGAGCTATGACACTGTGATTCTCTAAAGAGTGACAAAGTTGGACACCAGAAAAGTGGGAGAGGAAAGGGAAGCACTCTCATGTCAGCACTTCCAAAACAGGTTAGAACCAGGGAGGAGGGACTGGGCAAGGTGGTCCTCAGGACCTGCCTGGGCCAATAGCCAAGCACACGTGGACTCCAAGAGAGACCTGCAGCCCCTTTTATCTGAGTCTGGAGCCCAAGGTAGCCAGTAATCTTTCTTCAGCAACACTTAAGAGCTCAGGTCTCTTAAACTTGCCCCCAAAGGACAAGTAGTAACTACCATGTCATTTTTCTTCCTTAAAATATCTGGGCTTTTTAAGGGGAGGACTGGAAGGAATCATGCTGGATTCAAAGCATGAAGATAAAAAATACACCAGGAGTGAAACTCCCCAGGGTGTCACAAGACCTTCACTGTGAAATGCAGGCCCTCCCCACTATTGAAACTGATTATCTTCCCCAGCTCTGAAAGAATCTGGCCTCTCTCCTACCTACCCTTGGGGGTCTGAGCCTGAGCCACAGGAAGCTTTCGCTGCAGCCCAGTTCTGCAACCTTCCCTAGCTCCTACCTGGCCCCAGGCAGCAACACAACAGCGGAGCCTTTGGATCCACTGGCTCCTGCCTCAGGGGCCATGAGTCAGGGCCTGTGGAAAAGGAAGGTTGGAATATAAATATCTTAACAGAGGCCTCACTTCCCCTCTTTCCTCACAGAGCTACCTTACCTACAGGCCCCAGAATTAGTGTTTCAAAAATGTCAAGAAGCAAGCAGGATTTCATCTTCCAGCAGTTCCTGCAGGCTCACTTCTCTGGCCCACATCACACTAGGCCCAGGCCACCATTACTTTAATCCCTGCAATCACATGACTGCACGGTGCATGTGGGTCAGGAGGCTCAGAGAGAGGAAGTCACTTGCCCAACATCAGCTGGTTAGAACAAGGCAGTGCAAGGCTTTAAATCAAGGTAAAAGTGAGCATGGAACCTGAAGGGAAATGAATTCTGCCCGCTGTAGAAAGGAGCTTTGCATTCTGAGCTGGTTAATCTTGCAGAAGGGAGTATCTGGAGTATCTTCATCCCAAAGCTCTCAGCCACATGGTAAATCCCGCTTCCTGACACATCCCATGCAAAGCCCGTCTCCTTGGTCCCAATGCTGGCCTGGTGGTCCTGACTACAGGCAGCTGACACACTTGAAATGTAAATCCCCTTGAGTCTACAGGGAGATCCCAAGAAGGCATCTAACTTGGCTTGTCACACAAGAAGACAGACATGAAAGCATTGGAATCCTGCCCAGATAAGCTCTGCTCTGCAGTGGTTGCTCATATATTTTTTAAGACTCCCAACAGGCAGGGCAAGTGTTAGCAACTCCATTTTACAGGTGGATCCTGTGAGGTTCAGGAGTACTAAGTGACTTATCCAAAGTCACACAGTTATTCAGTGGCAGAGGCAACACTGAAAACCTGCTCCTTCACATGCACCCTATGATTGCATCTCATTCTCAGAGGTTTAAAGAAACAGACCAATCTGAAGCTTACCAGCAGCCTCCCTTTACCAGTGCAGACGGTGATAAATGTGACCCTCGGTGCTTTAGCCTGCTCACACAACCCCAGCAATACCATTCTGCAAGCTGCTTGCTATCTCCACTTTCCGGATGGTGACAACAAGGCCCATAAAGAAGGAGGTCATTATTTCCCATTCTTCAGAGAGTAATGAGACTGAGAGCAGACGCCTGGGGCTTTTCTAATATGATCCCAGAGCACAGGCGTAATGGCAGGCAAGCTCCAGCACCCCGCCATGGCCCAAGAGACTCCGTCCACAATCAGCTCTGGAGAGCTGGGCAGATCTGGCTGGTTGGTAGAATAGGATATCATAACCTGCATTTCCATGGGGAATGGATTTGCATATTCTCCACAAGAAGACCAGTCAAGTTGTAAAGCCACAATTTTTGATTTTAGAATTGCCTTTTCAACTTTTAAGCCACTGTGACATTTGGAAATATTCCTGTAATCAATTTAAAATGATTCTCCAAGTCAATAATCAGCCTTTGAGGAAACCCTGCTTTGGGTTTTGTGAAGGAAAGTGAGACAGAATAATCAAAAAAGAAAATGTCCCCCTCCATGTGATGGGACCCTCTCAGTCCTACCCTGGGCCATCAGAAGCCAGACCAGGTCACCAACTATCAGAAAGAAGAAAATAGCCTGCAATCCCAGCACTTGGCAGGCTGAGGTAGGAGGATCCCTGCAAGCTCGAGACCAGCCTGGGATACAAAGTGAGTTCAGGGCCAGCCTGAACTGCAGAATAAGACTCTTGTCTCAAAAAGACAGGGAGGGAAAAAAGAGGGAAATAGCTTATGAGGAAGATGAAAATCCCATATAAACAGGAGGCCTTCAAAAGAAATCATTACACATGAGTGTAACTCACTCTGAGGCCATGGGCCCTGCAGGAGTGTGACCTCCATTCTCTTGCCACAGGTCATTTTACAAAGGAGTCCGGGAGAGCCACATGGCTTGGCTCAGTGCCAGGCTGCCCTGGGTCCCCTGGCTGAGAGCAATTGGTTGGCTCCTGCTGAGTTACAGAGCAACACTGCAACCAGGCAGAAGTGGCCCAACTAGCCTGAGTCTCCAGGGGCTCCTTCGGGAGCCAAACAACTAAAAATAACCTGGGCCTTTGTTGTACACTGCTGGACCACAGAGATGGAGCTTATTTAAGGAAAGCTGCGCATGCGCAAGGGTCCCACTCACCATGACCTGCCCTTTGGGCAAATGATTTTTCTAGAAATGTGTCAGTTATTGTGCTGTTGCTCTGATTCAAAGACAGTCCAAGCCACTTCAGCCTGCAGAGCTGTCCTCCAAAATAAGAGTTCTCAGAATGTAGGCTCCCTGCCTATTTCTTCTAGAAGCATTTAAAAAAGAAAAGAGTCCAGCTCATATGGGGGGATTTAGGAGACAAGAACAGCCTACAAGCTGAGGGTTCAAAATCACTGCCACCTTATCACAAATAATCACATTACCCTAACCATCCATTTAAGTAACAATTGTCCATCCTTCATCCTAAAATTTCCAGTCAGTTCTCTGCAGACAATAGCACACTTACACCATGTGAAAGAAAATTACTTGAGAAAAAGAACTCATAGTGTCACATCAATACTGAAGAGTTTTTCAAAGCTGTGGTCCCTGTATGGATCATTTGGGCTTGTGATTGGGAGTCTTTGCTCACCTGCCTGGTGCCTGAGTTCCACCAGGAGGCGCTGATCCAGCCCCATACACTCAGCTCAGTCAGAGGTAGGGTCTTGAGCATTTTTCTCCATCCTTAGGCTGTGATTTGTCTCACCTCAAGTACACCTCAGCTCTGAAGGAAAGGAACTAGCCTAGTCCCTTGCCAAGTCTCTCCGCATGAATAACAAATACTGAATGGCTATAGCAAGCCTTAACATTATTTTCCCAATGTTTCTTCCCATCTCTCAGTCCCTCCCCAACCCCTATCAAGTGAAAATGCAGTCAGTCACAACCACCCCAACCATGGAAGCCATTGTTGAGTTTCCATTAAGAACTCTTCTTCCCCCCAAAGACCAAGGAACAAGGGGTTTCAAGACTCCTTCCTTAGGATGGCCTCCAGGATCCAAGTCTAGAATTATCCAGTAGCTTGAAATAAACAACAATTTCTCCACAGCACTTTGTTCCTCTGGTGAAAGTCTAGGATGAAGAGCCTAAACTGGGGGTGAAAATGCTGTGCAAACATAGATTTAAAAAAAAAACACCAAATTACACACAAGTGATTCATGAGTGGTCACAAAATGGCTTCCCTTAAAATGGAAACCAGTGAGAAAGTTGCAGTGCTAGGGTAAAAGTGAGAGGGTTCCACAGGGCTGGGGTCAGGGTTGTTCTTCAAAAGTGCAAAATCCTTCTGGTAGAAACATGTTGATGCTGGCTGAAGTACCATCTGTGGAGCAAGAGATAAGGTAGATGCCTCACCCTCTTGGTTCCACACGTCCAGGCCCTTCTGTGAGTGTTCATCTTCCTTATAGTTGGTCTATGGAAATGTGAGAGAAGGGCTTCATCTGGTTTGAATAGGGCTCTGGCTCAGCCTCTCCAGCAGCAAGTCACTTTCCGTGACCTGGGGCTCTAGGCCTGGCAGCCAAAGGCTGAGGCTTTCTCTTTGAGCAGCTCCCAGCATAAGTGGCAGCTCCAGCTTCCTATAAGAGACAAGATGGCATTAGTAGTTACCCTTCTTCTCATGTTCGATTCTCAGCCCAGTAGCCCTAACTTCTTGGGAACCCTATTTTCCTTTGACTTTCACAATTCAGAGATCATGTCTCAGTCCTGAAGTCACAGCGGAGTCTTGTTCAGCAGGAAATAAATGCTCAGAAGTCACCAGCTGAGTTATCACAAAGACCTTCATTCCTTGGCCATTCCTCAATCCCCCAGAATCTTACCCCTCCCTTCATCTCAGCCATGTGTGTAAGGAATATTTCCTTGGGCCTCAAGTTGAAATTTCAGCTGGCTGAACCATGCTTCCATTTCCTCATGTGTAATATGATAGTGACTGTACCTACCTCATAGGCTTGTGATGATTAAATGAGACAAGACATGAAAAGCCCTTAGCACAAGGCCTGCACCATAGTGAGGGCTGAGTAAGTGGTAGGAGTAGTGGCTGATGTTGTTATTGTTGACCTCATCATCATTACCTTCTGGGGGCTCAGCCACTGGGGGGTTTAAACAGTACATGTGATAGCCACGGTCACAGTCATCACAGAAGAGTAGCTGGTCCTGGTGGAATACAGAGCATGTACAGAACATAGGAGAAATTTGATTATTTGGGGCCAATATCTGGCCCCCACTTATTCCTCCAGATCATTTCCACAGATCAGTTACATGGGTACCCCGTTTCCAGATCTTGTTTGGAATCACTGAGCATAGCTTGTGCTTCGTCTGCACCTAGAATTTCTCCTTCTGTTTCCCAACCCTACAAATCCTATCCTAAGCTTAAGGTTCTGCTTACCTCATATCTCTTGCATGAAGCTTTCCCTGACTACCACTTACAACCAAGTTTAAAAGAATTTTCTCCTCTTCTAAATTCCTGTAACCAACAACTTTGTTTCCAAAGGTCAGAAAATTAAGTTTATTCATTTCTCCCCATTCTCTACAATGATTGCCTGGTATATGAGACATACTTTAAATATTTGAAATGTTTAACTATCCTGGTCTCTCTATGTATGAAATGCACACAAGCTGTACTTGGAGGTAATACTCATGACCCACCAAACCCTCTTCAGGGTTTCATGATGTGAATGGAGAGAAAAATGCCATCCTTTGACTTTCAAAAGTCTCTTCACAGCCGGGAAGTTTGAGCTCAGATGAGATCAGGATACAGGATGATTCTAGAGCCTGGGGGACCAGATAGGAGGCTGATGAAGGCTCCCAGGTGATAGAGAATGGTGACCTAAACCAAGGTTGTGATATGGGCACAAAAGATGACTCTTGCTCTACTTCAGATCCGTTGATTAAATGTAGAGAATAATAAGGAACGAATCAGGCATGTTTTTACAGGTCTTGGATTAGTCAACAAGTCAAATCCCACAGTCACTCACTGAGACATGAGTAGAAGAATGAACCCACAGGAAGAGAAGACAACCTAAGATTTAGACATGAGCTACAGATCACCTGGCAGGGATGACCTAGGGACAACCAGAAATCAGAGAAAGGTCTGAGCCTGAGCGATAGGTTTGGAAGTCATTGATAATTAAATGGCAAGTGAAGTCCTAGAGAAGGAAGCTCAGGAATTAGGAGAGCAGATATCCTTGAATTTGTGTTTTTAGGGAGGTATTCATGATCCTCTAGGAATGATATGCACAACTTTATATATTGATAGGAATGTATAGTTTTCTGAGGAAAAGTAAATCCACGGCTTTCATTTAATTCTCTGAAAGATCAAAGGCCCAGAAGAGGTTTCTGAGAAGAAGATTAAGAACAGATATTTGAGTAACACAAACTTTAAGAGACAGATAGAGGACAGATACTGAAGAATCTCAGTAAAAGAAGTAGGATGAAACCCAGCACTGTAGTTTACTCTCCAAAAGTTGCATCATTACATCAAAGCTCAAGTAAGCTAAATGATGATATGACTTAGGGACAATGCAAACAAAAATAAGATAAGATGGAACCAAAAAAAAAAAAAACAGAGAAAGACTTGTCAGAAATAGCATTATTAATGTCATAAAGACATTAATAACCTCTAACATAGTACTAGTATGAGAATCACAGATAGGAAGGACAGTCTGGATTAGACTTTCCCAAGGGAAAGCCAGGCATCTGAGGGGTTACATTCATTTTTCATGAATGGTCTAGCATCATATTTTTCTTTTCCATATGTTTGTCTGAATGCCTGCCTGTCAAAACCACCAATAATTCACAGCTCATGCTAACTCTCATGGAAACACAAAATGTAAGGAAGTCTTACTCCTGTGTATGCAAGAACCAGAACCCACCTATGACTACAGTTCCAGTAAAGTAGGAATTTCATTCTGGGATGTGCAGGGAAAATTTCTGATGATGTGAAAGGGGTGCCAATGCCCAAGCAATGCCCTGGCTCTAGATTCATCCTCCTAATTCCTCTCATAAGGCTCTGCAATGTCAATATACAACTCTGCATCAACACTGCTTGTAAAGCCAAAGGCCAGAATCAACCATTTGTCAGTAATGGATAACTATACAGCTCTAGGTAAGAATGGTGAAGATAGTTTCTGAAATGATAGCAGCAGCAGTGAAAAAACAACTGGAAAAGACTACAGAAAACATAACATCTCACGTACAAAAAAAAAAATGATGATCAAAATGGAAGATATTAGACACATACTTTTTTTAAAAGACCTTAACAAATGATGGAATTCCAACATAGAAAAGAAATGTAATTCATGAAACAGAGCTAAACAGAAATCCAAGAGATTAAAACCTCCATTGAAAGTATGTGTGACAGATTAAATGAAGACAAGGATAAAATATCACATGTAGAAAACAGGATTGCAGCTACTGACCATGAAAAGAAAGACATCTTAAAAATAGCAAAAGACCATGAAAAGTCAATCTAGTAACTGTAAGATGAAGCAAAGAAGAATAAGATAAGATTGATGGGGATTGATGAGAAAGCTGGAGACTGCACAAATGCCATTAAAAAAACCTTGTCACAGATATAATGGCAGAAAACTTTCCAAACATGGATAAAGAATTTGACATACAAATAAATGAAGCATATAGAACTCCAAATAGTCAAGACCAAAATAAATCTATACCAAGTCATATAATGATCAAGAGTCTAGAAATTCAGCACAAAGCTGGTTATTAAAGGCAATTTTTAAAATCAGTTAAACTGATTATTAAAATCACCTATAAAGTAAAGCTTATAACAATCACAGCAGACTTCACAATACAAATTCTTAAATACAGAAGAGCTTGCATTGAGGTATTTCAAGCCTTAAAAGAAAGCAACCTCCAACCTAGATGGACATACACCTGCAAAACTATCTTTAAAAATTGATGGAGAAATAAGATAGTTCCATGACAAAGAACACTTGAGGAAATTCATGACCACCAAACCAGTTCTACAGATTGCTCTGAAGGATATATTAGATAAAATGCAGTTGGCACAGGACTGGTACCACAGTCACTTCTGTTTGCCAAGCTGCTGCCACTGCTAGGCAGACAGATAGGTGGGCAAAGCTGGGGGCAGTGCAGTAGGGTCGGCCAGGCACTGTAGGGCTGACTCACTTGGTGAGGCAGAAGGAGAAGTGGCTCCTGCAAGCAGTGTGCTGGCAGCCCTGCCCTCCTGCCCAGTATGGGGCTCTGGGTTCTGTACTGCAAGCAACAGCCCAGCAGCACCCCTGGAGGACCTGGGGTGGCAGGAGCCCCAGTGGTTGGACAGCTAGGTGAGATAGGTCCACAGAGCTCAAGAAACAGAGGCCTGGAGAACCAGCCAGCCATGCTCCCCATGAGCCCACCAGTCACCATCAGGGGAATCTCAGTGTAGCTGCATATGACTGGAAAACTTCCCCCCATGCCCCATTGCCTTCCCAGAGACCAAGGTTAGGAGAAACCCAGGTGTGTGCTCCATTCCCCTATACTGTGGACGTGCAGACAACATGGAATCACCTGGGACCCCATGACAGATTCTGCCAGAGGAACCCAGGAAAATGTCAAGACAAAGAAACAAAAAGACAAGCTCAGACCTCCAGCCAACACAGAAGAAGTTTGGGAGACATAGACATGGAAGAGGTTGGAGGTGCACATCTGAAATTCCTGAGAAGGTGGCAACTGAAATAAAGCAACAACTTCATGAGGCTGTAAAAGTAATCAGATCCAAAATAATATCTCAGATAGAAGAAGAAATGACAAACGTAATGAAAATTTGCTGAGCTTATCCAAAGACATAGATACAAAAAAGAGGAGCAAAGAAAAATGAGCATATATTGCATGAACAATACAGGAAGGAATGCACGAAACAGCAAAGATTCAGGAAATTAAAAACTCCTTTGAGCACTGGCAAATGCTTGAAAGAAACTGAAAATAAGACTTTCAGACCTTGAAGACAAGGTAGTAACTAGTGATCACAAAAGGAAAAACCTATCAAAAGTAACAAGGAACCAAGAAATAAAAATTTAATGGCTGCAAGATGATGCAAAGAAAAACAACTTGAGTGATACGGATTAGCGAAAAAGCAAGGGTCAACACAAGAGACATGAAAAGATTATTTACAGAAGTAATAGCAGAAAACTTCCCAAGCATGGGAAAAGGACCTGGCATTCAGATAAATGAGGCACACAGAACTCCAACCAGCCATAACCAGAATAAATCTATACCTGGACAAATAATAATCAAAATCCCAGGAATTCAGCAAAGAACAGAATATTAAAGGCAGTGAGAAAAAAAAACAGATTAGCTATAAAAGAAAACCTATTAGAATCATGGCAAACATCTCTATACAAACCATAAAGTCAAGAAAATCTTAGAGTGAAATGTTTCAAGCCCTGGGGGGAAAAAAAAAAAAACAAATTCCAACCCAGACTGATGTAACCAACAAAACTATCTTTCAAAATTAATGGAAAAAGCTGGGGATTTAGCTCAGTGGCATAAGCACCTACCTGGCAAGCTCAAGGCCATGAGTTTGATCCCTGGTACCAAAAAAAAAAAGGAAAAATAAGATACTTCCATGATAAACAAGGAGGAAGGAATTCATGACCACCAAACCAACCCTACAAAGAGGGCTGAAGAATATTTTAGAGAGAGATAAAGATGACCAAAGAGAAAAAACAGCAGTGGAGGGTCACTGACAATTAAATGGAAGGGACAGACAATTAAATGGAGGGGCAAAGTGGGGGGCAAACGGTAAGAGGGTAGCATCACGGAGATAAGCCAGTACATGTCAGTTGTAAACATTAAAGTAGAAGGCCTCAATTCACCAATAAAAAGAAACTGAGCAGAGTGGGCCAGATAATAGGATCTATCAATATGCTTATACAAGAAACACATTGCACTCAAAAGGCAACTCACAGACTGAAGGGAAAACAGTGCTCTATGCAATTAGGACCCCCCAAAAGCAGGGGTAGTTTGTCCAACAACTAAAGAATAGATAAGAAAGATATAATATTTTATACAATGGAAATCTATTCAGGAGGATAATCTTGAGGCTTTTGTAGGTAATTGGGTGAAATGACTCAGACTCACATGGGTGAACATCATGTTGTCTCTCTAGTATAAAACACTGAAGGAGTTAGTAG